GTCTATTTCACCCCTACAACTAAGCATACAATCATATTAGCAAGAGTCACAAAGATAACAAGTACATGCAGACATGTCCCAAGTGTCACAAAGACAACTATCATTCTACAAAAATAATCCGTTGGGCCGACATTGGTGCCTTTGACCCACAAGTAAAGTGTTGAGACTCACCTGAACTATTCAACATAACCCCCAACAACTACCTCAACAACAAAACATCTAACCCAAGCTTTCTAAATCCAAACCGAAACCAATCCTTAGTCAAATGCTCAATTCTACCCAAGTTTGACCAAAAGTCAAACTGGTCAAAAGTCAACGGTCAAAAGCTAAGGTCAGAATTGCCAACAACATCCCTCTACATTGTAGCCTTCCTTGGCCGTGCTATGGGCACAAAATGCCAAAACAGTCGTCGATTCCTAGTCACTACATCGTGGCAGCCTAAGGCCACATCGTATGGACTGATATAAACAGCTCAAACAAGCTTAATCCATTTTCTTCTGATTTCAAGAGCTCCAAAGCTTAGGTTTGATCCTTTAAAAGGTCTTAATGGATAAAGTTTCCAACTTTATCCATTAGGAAGGTCCAAATCACTAAGATGTTGGAGTCCACTCAACTCCAAGATCATCCATAAAATGGACCAAAAGTGCCAAAAACCCCAAATGACAAAATCTAAAGAACTAGATAACAAGATTTGAGCTTTATACTTATAATAGTCCAAAAATGTAGTGCCTTTGATGGATCCAAATGTGAAACATTATTCCTTGCAACCAAAAGAACCTTCTTGATCTTCATGCTTTATCAAAACATCACCAATAGCATCCAAAAGAGGGGAGAGGAGAGAGAAGGAGCTCAAATCTTGAAGGTGGAGGCTAGGGTTTCTCCTAAGGGGTTCTACAGGTGATGGAGGCTAAGAAAATACCCTAAAACATGAATCGTTACCTTAAAATACCTTGAAAACCCTAAAATATTCGTGAGCTTGGGATGCACAGTTCTCACCTCATGACAGCTTGCTTCTCACCTCGTGAGAAACCTTACATTGTGAGAATATGCTTCTCACCACTTCAGAATGAGTTTTCACCCAATTCCATTCCAACTTCATACAATTATAACTTCTTCGTTTTAATTCTTTCTTCGGTGATCTTTATATGCACGAAAAGCTATTGATGAGCCTCTTGACCTTATCTAATTAAGTTAGACTTAAAACATACCGAACTAAAATTCTTAAATCGTGAGAGAAGTTTGAAACATCACTTTTCCAATTTTACCCTTTGACTCTAAAACACAAACCAAGGGCTTAGATCACATATCCAATATTATTAACATACAATAGGGTCTAAACCCTATTCCCTTGAAGCCCAAGGCCTTTACTCGATCCATTTATAGCCCATAATCCCAAAATAAGAAAAGTCTTGAAACATGATGTTACAGGATCAACCCCACAAGTAGAAACCGTGACACTCAGTTTCCCGCAGATTCAACAAAAACTGAATCTTCTAGTAGGACCAAGTCAAGTTCCAAAATTAAGTTAAGTCTAGAGTAGATCTAACATTAAAACTAATCAAAAAGTAGTAAACAATATGCTAATATTGACCTTAAAAACCCTGTGATGATATTTGTACGAAATTAGAATATTTTACAATACGTTGTTCAGAAGCATATACTTGTTTTTGTTACGTCATCAAAAGGAAAATATTTTAAACATACACACAAAAAATCATAAA